TCTGGTCTTGTGATGTTTCCCCAACACATAATTTCCGTTGCACTAAGCAAATTTCCACGAAGCATAAATCGGTTTATCGATACCAAGAACTTATCAAACCAAAGAGTAAAAATATATCAAATAAATAAAATGACAAATACAAAGTAAATGCTAAATGAACTTAAATTGGCGGAATGGTGGATATCAAAGATATATTTATTTATTTCTGTATTTCCCTTTCTGTAATTCGGTGTTGAAGTTGTTTATTGAATGTTATCACGAATATTTTAGGCAATGTACGTTTGGTAAAAAATAACCAACGTTGTATAACGTAATATAAATGGTCGACATTCTGTTACTAGAAATTAATTTTAAATAAAGATATCAAAAGTTCGTTTCGAGAATTTAATAAAAAAAAAAAAATTATTGGAATAAATAATAATTATACTGAAAATCGCATTCGATTTAATATTGCTTTTTCTCGTTTTAACAGATTTCCAATTAAATCTGATCATTACTCTCTACCGTACTGAAGAGGGTGGGGGGGGGGGAGGGGAACAACAACGACAAATCCAATAAAGTTTTAAGCTGAACGTAACCCTTCCCCCATTTGCAAAATTTATTACCAATCTTTGAAAAGTACTTAATCCAAAATTAAAACGCGTAATCACCCGAATCATTGGAAACAATATTACTAAAATCAGCAAACAGCTCGAAAAGAGACAATATCAATGGAAATATCCCAAGTATAAAGCCATAATTCTCCAACATACAGTTGAACAGATGCCAACGTTTCACCAAACCAAGCATTATTAGGTTAAAAAAAAAAACTACATCAAATATGCAGAAAGAAGTGGAAAAAAAATTGCAATTGGCATAGCAGCAAGCTACCCAAATGCATACTGAAGGAAACAGGAAAGGAAGGTTATTCTATTATTATATTGTCAAATAAAATATAATAATATTAAAATGTGTTAATAACATAAAATAAAATAAGGAGAACTAAAAAAAATTAACAAGTACAAAAAAAAAAAAAAAAACTAGGTGTATACAGTGAGTCTGAGGTGTTCTGAATAGCCAAACTTTGAAGGGTGATTCTACCCAAAAATTTTTAAAAAAATAATTATTTGATGTAGGGGCTGACTCCAAACCGAAACGAAACCCAATGTGATTTTTTTTTTACGATGGCCATTGCTTTTATTGAAGAAGAAGGAATTGCTCAAAAACTGCTTAAGATAATTAAATTCTAAGTATACCATCGTAAAGCAGACAATTTTTTTTTAGTGATTTAATTTACTAAGGTCAATGATAAAACGGACTTTCAGGAGGTCTAATACGACCGCTGTGTATTTTTTTTTTTTAAACAGATCTTAGTTTAATTAGGCCGCCCAACTCTCTAAATGATCTTGACAATGGCAAACTGTAATTGTATTTATATTAAATTTGTCTAATTTACTAAGTAGTTGTGAGTTACTCATATCAAATATTTTTTTTTAGTAATTGCTTCATATTCAACAAAAAATGCGACACTTAAAAAAAAACTTGAATTTTCTTGAATGTGAAACTTAAATTTTCTTCTTTTCTACCGAAAATCAGACCATTGTTTACATAACCCTTTTTGTAGAACTTTGTAATAGGTCTGGTATTACTCCTATTAATATTTCCCTTTACTTATCGGGCATTCTGTATATATATATTTATTGAGGCGTTTTCAATCTGGAGGGGAGGAAACTTTGTCAGTTTAATTAGGTACTAAAAACTCGTAAATAAACATTTGCTTTCTACTTAGATCACAAGATAATTTGATCACAAGGTTGATAAAAAAGGAGACCTACAAGAATATTGGGCCGTTTGTCCAATATAACCTCGTTATTTTGGAATTTTGGGGGTGTAGATCACGCCAAGCGGCTCAATATTTTTGGAGGGCACCTTTTTTTCTCGATTTTGTGATCAAATTATCTTACGATTCAAGTAGAGATCAATTGTGTATTTACGAGTTTTTATTACCTAATTAAGTAGACAAAGTTTACCTCCCCCCCCTTCAGATTGAAAACGCCCCAATTCCAAGAGTTTTCGTAAATAAAATAGTTGTAGGTTACGATGAGATGAATCTATTTACGAAGTTTCAGGTGGATGTTAATAATTCGATAAAAAGGGGTCTTGATCACGAAATATTAATCCTTGTATCTACCTTCCTAGGATTGTGCTCGTCTTTCCTATGTATCCTTCAGAAAATATTGTAATTAGTTCTCAATCCATCTAGAGCCCATCTACACCCCAATCTTTTTTCTGATATTGTTATTTAGACTTTTTTTCGTTTTATGTATTTGTAAACTTGTAAAACAAACCTTTTTAAAAAAGTCTTAAGCTTCTATATTGAAGATAACTTATATATTTCATATCGCACTATAGCCATGATGCCATTGAAAGATACGAGGCTGCTGGGCTCTCTAGCACACAGAAGTGAGGCAGAGAAACAGCTTGCTCGTCAAAGGATAATTGCACTACCTGTGTAGTTTCCTAATACTATTCGACGCGTTGAGTAGTCGAACCTGCACAACCAGGATCATACAAAGTGTAGATTGCCATTGTCCAGGGCAAAGGTAGTCTCAAAGGGCTTTTTGCTCGATTAGGCCTTTCAATTTGCTGTGTACACTCTCCCATCGTTCCGAATAATCAACAACATGCAACAATTTTCTAGTTCTAATTGATTTTATCTTCAGCTACAGGCTTTTGTGTCCATCCCACGCCGGATCAATACCAGACTTCTCTGTATTCAGAATAGTTTTTTATTTTAAGCTCATACAATATCCATTTCTATAATTATTTATTATTTATATAAGGTAAGTGTACCAGTAATGAGTTTTCAACTCAACAGATAATAAGCCTTATGTGCTCAAATGAGAGTGCGAATATGAGTAGATCTGCACTTAAAACAGTTGAGGGATTGATGCCTAAAACTCAAATGGCACCATCACACAATAGCCGATTGATAGTTGATTTTTTAATGGAGCTGAGTGGTGTTTAAAACTTTCATTCATCATTTGATATTCATTTCTCAGTTTAAAACTGTCCAGAATTTATTTTGTGATTTTATTAATTATATAAAAAATCTATTAGAATTTCTGAAGTTTTCATGAGTAATTAACTAATGATTTACATAATTATATAAAAACATTCTTGTAGTGTCTATAACCCGTAAACTTACCTTATAAATTATTTGTTTTAATAATTTACTAATTTTTTTTAGATTTCTGGAGTAATAATTACTTCAGTCCACTCCTGCTAGTATCAAGCAGAACTGATTTTTAGTAGCAATACCATGAAAAGAAATAAATATAAGAGTCTAAACGGACTTTTAGCTCCTTACAGCAATAACTCCAATTTTATCTTTTTTGGAGTGAAAACTTCTTTAGGCGCGTTTTGCACTTTTTTGTGGAGAGTGAATTGGACTGACCCGTCAAATTTCCTAAGTGTAACGCTCGGGTAAAATCGGCTGGAGTCGACTAATTGAAGTGTTTTTGCATGTGGATTAAAATATCTCAAAAACTATAAGTCGGGCCTGGATACTGCGAGCGAGGAAATTGTTCAACATCTCATCCTCTCTCTGTAATAGAACATAATTTAAAATTTTATATTAATGCGACGCCGTGTTAGAGAGGCGAATGGGAAAAATAGTGTCTAAAAACAAATAATTACGATTTTTGTGGCAGATATGGATGAAAATATCTCAGAAACTAAATATCGGACCTGGATACTGAAAGCGAGGGAAATGTTCAGCATTTCAAACTATTTTTAATGAGCTATTCACCAGAACCTTACTTACCACCCAAATCCTCTTGCACAATCCCTATCAAGCATCTCCCATCCCTATAATCCTCCAAGAAGGTTGAAACGGCAGTGGCCTCGCGACCTTTTGTAGATTATATAAATTGGAGTTCTGGCAATGGCCTGATTCTTCACTCAAGACATGTGTGTATGTGGCTAAAGTGCTCTCGACCAATCTCCGCTGGCTTTAGTACCAGTGACGCGGTTGGGAGAGTAGGGTTCTCCTGGAGTTCCCTCGCCTGATTGTATATAGGTATGCATGTGTTTTTTTTTTTTTTTTTCCTTAGTTTTAATTTTCTTATTTTTTAGGTTATTTTATTTTATTGTCTATTGTATATACTTTTGATTATTATTTTGTTCTATTTATTTTATTTTTTTGTACATATGGTGTGAATGTCATCCTACCTCACTATAACCAATGTCCAACAGACAGATTGTTATAATACTCAATAAAGAAATTAAAAAAAAAAAAAAAAAAAAAAAAAAAAAAAAAGAGCTATTATTTATAATTTATATTTTATATCACTAATCTCATCTAGTTGATGTTTTCACTTCTATCGTGTGGTCTAAAGCACACACTTTAGTTTTATTTTTTTATGTAATTGACATATCTTATCGGTTATGTATTATTAATAACCGGCAGTTATCAGTAATAATTTTCACATCCCAGTGAACTCGTTGTCAACCTATCACAATTTCTTATTCACAACAACTTATTAGGCAACATAAGAAATGAGTGAGCAACATCATCTCCTTGTCCTTGTTAACTTAAAAAAAAATTGTAAACAACACATCAAGCATTGGTAATTTCACTTAGAAGCCATAATAAAATGGCGACAGTTACAGAAAAAGGCATTAAAAGCACAAAACTGCAAAAAATCACGTTATTAAAACTATTGTATATTGGGGATACGAAAAAAAAAAAAAAAAAGAAATGAGCTATTAAAATATGTTTCTTACATTAGCAACTAAATCTGTACCCCGGAGGTAAAGGACATCACGCCACATTTTTCTATTGATTCGAGGAGCTAATTTTTAAACTTTGAGATATTAAAATTTATCTAATTGTTCCTAAATTAATTAATCAAAACTGGACATGGTATGGATATAGTCCTTCAGCTCCGAAGAAGAATTTTTTCCAATTATAACCTAATTTTTTTAAGAAGTATTTATCGTAAGACATTTGTACTTACTTGACCATGGGGTCCGGACTTCCACCTCTTGAGGTACAGGTGAGATCCAGAGGTTTCCCTTCCGTTGCGGTGGGACTCGACGAGGGTCCTACCCGGGGTGCTCCAGGTGGTGTGAGGACGGTGACCCTGTAGGCTTGGGAATGGATGTCTTTCCCGCTACCGCTGACTTTGAGGCGGCATTCGAACTTGCCATCGTCCCGCTCATAGCTAACGTTGGATATGTGCAAGTCGTAGCGACCTTCTTCTGGCCTGAAGTCCAATCTGAAACAATAAAATATCGTAAAGTAATTGATAAACATAAAAATTAAAATTAATATATATTTTTTAAAATTTTATTTATATGATATTTACAACTGTATAAAAAAAAATCTAGTAAATTCGCATATGGATATAATGACATTAAACACTTGTTGAGAAACTATCTATTGGTACCATATGGATAATATGTCTATATTAGGAGATCACGTGGCCATCTTTTTTTCAGACGCCTCGGAGGGTTATCAGGAATTGAATAGGAAGCAAGGTTAGAAACAAGAGGGTTGGGATGGTTATGAAGTTTATTGTGGAAGGATAGATATCTGGATTGGGCCAAATCTGATACATAAGGAACATTAAGGTCATTGTGGATGATTTTATTTGTAACAAAGTAAGGAGCATTAGAGGATTTTACGAAGGATTTTGGATTGTAAGAATTGGTTACGAGAGGAATTTGAAAGTTTGGTGGAGCCCCATAGCATAACCCCGTAAGTACTAATAGGTCTTATTATGATCATGTAAATGAGTCTTTTGTAATTAATTGGAAGGTTAGAGCGTTGGTCTAGTAAGTGTTGAAGTAGTCGGAAACGTCGAGCTATTTCTTGCCGTTTCAGGATTCCAAGTTAGACGTTTGTCCAGGTGGAGTCCTAGGTTAAAACTAATATTAACATATAATCTTATATATTATTTCTAAAAGTTGTTCATTTGTCGGTACGCCATAACTTCGTCAATTCTTCATCAAATCCAATGATTGACCGCTCATTTTGAAAATTTTCTTCTACACATGCGAGAAATAGTTCTTCCCGAAATTTGGGTAACTTTATTTGCGAATAACTCAAAAAAGTATACATTCTCTCGTAATTGTACCCATGGTAGTTAGAAAGATTACTAAACTACCTACAAAAAAAAAAAAAAAAAAAAAAAAAAAAAAAAAAAAAAAAAAAAAAAAAAAAAAAAAAAAAAAAAAAAAAAAAAAAAAAAAAAAATTCGACAATAATTAACAAACATATAGTTCATTGATTTTGGTATATTAAATAATTTCTTCCTCTTTGAAGATAATGCATTTACTATTAGACTACCTTTCTTTTCCTAGCTGATTTATGCGTTATTATTTCTTAAAGGCATTTTTTTGTTTGCACATTTTATTTTATTAAAAAAACTTAGAAAATCCCGTGATTGAGTTTTATTTTTACTATCAGTCAAGGTTTACAAATATGCTCTAGCAAATCAATTTGTACAAATATTTTTGTTTATAATTTTAAATTGAATATTGTAATCGATCCAGGAAAAACAATTAATTCCTCCCTTACATAATACATAGGATCTACTTATTTCCATATATATTTGCTATTCCTTCACTAAAGAAAATTTTCTGCGAATTATTCGCACGGGCCCACTAGTTAATTATATTATATTGTTTATTTATGAAACAATAAGTTATATTAGTTTATTCATAAAAATATAGTTAGCCCGCATTATTTCCAAAATAAAATAAAATGCTAAATATAGTAAGCAAACTCTCAAATGGAAATGATAGGTCCATTATATTCGGCTGAATCCACTCCGGATTTCTTCAAAGACGCCTGACATGAGACATCAACGGTAACACCTCAATTCGAACCAGCTGTCCGTCAGAAGTGAACTACTTACGCCAGTACGGATCTTCCCGAACAGAACAAATTATCCGTTGGAGGGACCGTTACAGCCGTCAGTTGTCCACAAAGCTATTGTACGTCGGCGAAGAGTCTTCGGATCTGACAACCTCGCCGCGAAGAACAGCGGGGCATCCTGTTCCAGTGGCCTTCATCAGCGTTCCCGAAGTCTTTGGTCTGGAAGACACGCAGTCCCAGAACAGAAAAGAGGTGCTGGAGTTGAAATATGGATGCATAGAGTCTTATATGTTTGTTAATGATGAATATATCAGCTACGAATGAACAGGAAGTTGTGGTTTAAGTTATAATAGAAAAAAAAAACACTTCTTCCAATATAGAATTTATTTAGAAAATTAGTTGGACCGTGTGAATAATCAGCGTAGTCCATAGGTGGGAAACCTGCGGCAGCTAGGCCACATGTAGCCTCCGTGAGCTAGCTACGACCCCGGAGACCGCATGCGGCCTCCAAGCCTTTTTGCACGATATTTATTAAGCTAGAATTAATTTTTATTATTTAAATTTTTAAACTCTTATTTTCTAGGTGTTCCTAATCAAATATAAAATTCCTAAGGAAATATAAAATTAATTAAAAACTTCATTCTTGTTTTTTAAACAAATATGTTTACAAATTAAAATAAGCTGTTTGCTAATAATGGTCAGATTTTGATGATTTATTATTATTTCTTTTTTGTTGGGAATTTAGTAACTTTTTTTTTGTAATTTCTTTTTTAGTAAAATTTATTAAATTTATAATATTTTTTTTGTAAATTGAAGGTGAAGGAAATATTCAGAATTATGGATCGAAATAATATAAATATAAAATCCTTCTCTCGCGATCTTAGAAATATGAGCAAACCTTGCATTACCTTGAAAATATTACATTTTTTTTGCTTTAAAACACAGAACCCGGTACTCACGAAGAAACTTAATCGAGTATCGACATCCATATTGAAATCTTTACTCACAAATTGTCCCGTCTCGATACACTCACAAACTACTGTATCATATTGAAACCTAGCGAAATGTTTATGCCAAATTTATTTATTTTAAAAGAAAAACAAAAGCGGAGTGTACGATTAGCAAACCTCCCGTGAAATTCTGAATCCAACTGAAATTCATGGTATTCGAGTATGACAGGAGTTTATATTTGGTATAAAACCGATTTCAAGCCTCAGTAGAATAATATATGTGTGAATAGATAAATACAAAAGTGGCTTTTAGTAACTTGTCATATATAAGTTGAAACGAAATATTTAAAAAACATGTGCTAATTATATTGATAGGTTGTAGAGGTGAAAACTGTTCAAAGCACTTGATTAAATTTTAACATCTGTATAAAAGTAATTTTACTCAATTAAAACATGATGGTCCAGTTTTCAGTGGAATTCACCTTTTATTTTCTTAAAAGTAATATGAATGTTTTGTATAACATCCAACAGATGTACGAGTACATCGTTATAAAAGTCCTTCATAACGGGAATATTAAAAGCAATTAATTTACACGATAAATCCGGAATTTAATCAAAATTAATTTAATACAGTAACTTTTTAATTGATGTGTATTCCGGAATTATATAAAAATTCGATGTTACTAAGCGTCAAAAGATTTTTTCCAGTACAATTTTTTCAAGTTGGTTTGGACTGAAATTTGAAGGTGAATGGAATGTCTTCAATATATTACCTTTTTTAAACAAATAAAATAAAAACTATTGTAAAATTGAAGAATATTAGTCCATGGTACAGATTCCTTTATATTGAATTATTAACATCCGCCAGAAACTTCGAAAATATTTTCATCTCATCGTGACCAACTATTTTATTTACAAAAACTCTTGGAATAGGGGCGTTTTCAATCTGGTAGGGGGCAAACTTTGTCTATTTAATTAAGTACCAAAAACTCGTAAATACCCATTTGCTTTCAGCTTGACTCGTAAAATAACTTGGGCACAAAGTCGAAAATATTGACACGTTTGACGTGATCTACACCCCCAAATTTTCAAAACAACGAGATTATATAGGACAAACGGCACAATATTTTTGTGCATCACCTTTTTTATCGATTTTGTACTCAATTTATCTTAGGACCCAAGTAGAAAGCAAATGGGTATTTACGAGTTTTTAGTACGTAATTAAATAAACAAAGTTTGACTCCTCCAGATTGAAAACGTACCAATTCCAAGAGTTTCCGTAAAATATAAAATAGTTGCAGGTTACGATGAGATGAAACTATTTACGAATTTTCAGGAGGATGTTAATAATTCGATAAAAATTATAGTATAATAGTCTGTGTCTGTATCTATAGCCTCTTTTTTTTCATTAGAGAGAAAGACATTAATATATAATAACAGGGTGGCTACCAGACATTTAAAGTAAAATTCTCTGACATTTCTCTATTCAATGACAGTTTTTCCCTCACCAATATGTCTGGGAACACATATATTAAAAATATATAATTTATATGCAAATTTATTTATTATACATGACTGTGAAATAATTTGAATAAAAAAAAATCAGACATTTAAATAACAAATATAACGTTTTAGAGAAAAGCATTTTTTAAGCTTGATTATGATTTTTTATTTTAGAAAACTAAACTTTCAGTAATTTAGTTTTATCGCTTTTATTACTGGGAGAAGGTAAACGTTCATAATTGACATATAAAGATCTGATTATCTCTATTATAAAATACAGTGAGTTAAGGGGGAGTTCTGATATTAATGTAGTTTTTCATAAGTAATTTAGTTTCTTTATTACTATAAATAGCATAATAGTTATTCATATGGCACCAACGGTTACATTTCTGATTAATAAATGTTATTTTAAGGAGCACCACGGATCGAACGGATGAGTGCTTGCTTTGACCCAGATGTATCCATTACAAATAGTAATAAATGGTATTGGTATGTTTTTCTATTCGAAAAAACACTGTTTTGAGTCCATTTTGTCAATTTCATTCATTGTTTTTGTTTGATTTCAATACAACGAATGGTGTCGTTATCAAAAGTTAAAGGTGAATAAATATAGTGACCGTGGTCGTTCATAACGACGAAGTTTACACCCACATTATAATCGATATCCATTGTATATTTTTTTCATAATTGAAAAAAAATATATAAGTACTAAAAATCCCTGGCTTTTCCCTGTTTTGGAAATTCCTAGACTTTCCTCATATCTCCAGGTTTTCCAGGTGGGTCGATACCCTGAATAGGGCCCACCATTATAAGACTTATCCTCTCTATATATTTCGTTCAGTGGAAAATAATCATTACCCCTCAACGAAAATCTTTTATTTACGAGAGCAATAAGCAGGTGCTTCCTTGAGGATATTTTATCAGGAAGGCCTCCCTCCCCCCTCCCAG